CCCAGCTCTTCCAGCTCCTGGCCCCACCTCCAGCCCAACCCTGACTCCACAGGGTTAGGGGACATCTATGGACAGATCTTCCTCCTGCATACTGAAGTCTCCTTGGGGACCAGAACTGAGACCTCTTAGGGGCACAGGAAAGTTGTCAGAAAGTGTTTACTCAGCAGATCAATGAACACATGAGTGAGTGAATGAATGAATAACTGTTTCAGGGCCTGGAGTCAGTTGTCTGGGGTTCGCATCCTGGCCAGGGTGCTGAACACTGGATCTGTCCCTTGACCCCTCCGAATCTCACTTCCCCATTTATTAAATGTGTTTACTCAGAGACTTTGCCCCAACTTGCTACAAGGATGAAATTAACTAATACATAACGCATACGCCTTGGGGACCTCAGGCTTTCTCCAGTCCCAGCCCTGTGCACCCTCCCCAGCACCCAGAACTAGTGTCCTCAACAGGCGCACGTAATGGATGTTGAAGTACAGGGTTAATGAGAGGGGTAGAGGAAGGAGGGAAGAAGGGCAAATATTACAAAGGCTGAAACCTGTGGCCCCTGGATGGCTCAGTTGGTTAAGCAAAGCATCTGACTCTTGATTTAGGTTCAGGTCATGATCTCATGGTTGTGAGACTGAGCCCCGCGTCAGGCTCTGTGCTGGGCATGGAGCCTGCTTAAGATTCTCTCTCTCCCTCTCCCTCTGCTCCTCCCCCTCCGCCAAAATGCCTGAAACCTAAGTGTTGCTGAGGATGGACATGGCATAGCCTTCCTCACAAACCACTTGGGAAAACAGTCTGGCCATCTCTTACCCCATCTCCCAGCCATCCTGCCCCTAGGCATTTACTGGAGGAGAATGAGGTATAGTCACCATAAGACAGGTATACAAAAGGCTCAAAACAGTTTTATCTAATGCAGCCAAAAACTGCAAACAAACCAAATGTCTGCCACCAGGTGAAATGAACAGATAGTGAAAAGCTGGTTATAACAACAAAAATAATAGTAACGACGAGGATGATAAAATCCAGGTGTTGGCAAAAATGTGGAGGCATTGGAGGGGCGCCTGGGTGGCTCAGTTGGTTAAGCGTCCGACTTCAGCTCAGGTCATGATCTCACGGTTCATGGGTTCAAGCCCCGCATCAGGCTCCGTGCTGACAGCTAGCTCAGAGCCTGGAGCCTGTTTCAAATTCTGTATTTCCCTCTCTCTTTGACCCTCCCCTGTTCGTGTTGTCTCTCTCTCTCAGAAATAAATAAAACATTTAAAAAAATTAAAAAGAAAAGAACAAATTAAAAAAAAAAAAAGAATGTGGAGGCATTGGAACTCTCCTACATTGCTGATGGGAACATAAGATGGTGCAGCTGCTGTGGAAAACAGTTTGATAGTTCTTCAAAAAAACTAAACATAGAATTACCATATGACCCAGCCATTCCACTCCTAAGCACATATGCAAGGGAATGGAGAGCTGGTACTCAAAAAAACTTACACACAAAGATTTCACAGCAGCACAATTCACAATAGCAAAGAGGTACAAACAGCCCAAATGCCCACCAATGGGTAAATGGATAAACAAGATGTAGTAAAACCATACAAAGGAATAAAGTCCTCATACACCGATACAGCATGGATGCACCTTGAAACATTATACTGAGTGAAGGCAGCCAGATAGAAATGGCTACACTGTGTATGAAATGTCCAGAACAGATGCGTCTCTAGGGTCAGGAAGTCGATTAGTGGCTGCCAGGGGCTGGGGGCAGAGGGTTGGGGAGTGATTACTAATAGGCATGTGGTCTCCTTTTAAGGCAATGAAAGTTTTACGGAGCTAGTATTAGTGAAGGTTGCACAGCACTGTGAACTAAATGTACTGAATTACAGACTTTAAAATGCTTAAAAAGGTAAGTTATATGTTATTTGTATTGTACCACAACATAGAAAATGGTACCCAAGAATACTTGGTATTCAGTTCAGCTAATCAAAAAACATTCCTATGGTCTGAGTCAAGGCTGGGAACTGCAGATACAAACTAGCCAATTTCTCACCGCTTGCCTGAACCCCACGTGGGCCCTTTGAACTCACTTCATAATTGGTCATTTTCAGAGGATTCTCAAAAGTCATGATTGGGTCCCACCAAAAGTAATAAACACCTCACAGATACTGAATGGTCAAAGCTGTAATTGTAATTGGTGCTTATGTGATGATGCTACATGTACTGTAACACCCCCATCCCTTACTCCTTTTTTTTTTTTTAAATTTTTTTAAAAATTTTTTAATTTATTTCTAGGAGAGAGAAAGACAGCATGAGCAGGGGAGGGTCAGAGAGAGAGGGAGACACAGACTCTGAAATAGGCTCCAGGCTCTGAGCTGGCAGTCAGCACAGAGCCCGACGCGGGGCTCGAACCCACGAACCGCGAGATCATGACCTAAGCGAAAGTCGGTCGCTCAACCGACTAAGCCACCCAGGCGCCCCCCCCCATCCCTTACTCCTTAAAAACCCTATTCGCTATTGTTCTTCGTTTCACCTTGCTGCCATGACACCGGTAGGCAGATGAGCCCCTGCTTGAGCTTGTAATAAAGACCCTTTTGTATTTGCATCGGTGTCGACTCCTTGGAGGTCTCAGGGAACTCGCGAATCGGGCACAACACCAGCTTCGCATCATAACATGAGGAACAAGAGAAGCCAGATCCAAGAGCGGATACCTTCTGCGATCCCATTTATGTGAAGTTCAAAACCAGGTAAAACTCACCTATAATGACAGAGGGCAGGGCAGGGGAGGGGAGAATCAACCAGAGAGCCCAGAGAACTGCCAGGAGCTGAGAAATGTCCTACATCCTAACCACAGTGTCACCGCCCTTGTCAACCTCCACTTTTGACATTTGTGAACTTGATCATGCCTATGTTAAACCTGAAGACAAAATGTTAACGAGAGAAAAGGGTTGCCAGGGTGAGAAGACAAGAATGTCCATCAGTTCTGAGGGCTAAAGGGTTCCATTTTCCCCACAAATGCCATTATCTGATCCCTCTAGGGACTGATGACCTCGAAACAAGCCTTGAGCTGTGAGTGGATAAAGGCCAGAGGACAGTGACCTGAGTCTTGTGCCTGGAATTTCAGAAATGACCCCCCATGATGCTTCATCTCTGGGGAGTTGCTTCCCACATTCCCCATACGAGAGTCCTCAGCCTGGATGACACCATGAGACGGGAAAACCTCAGGACTCCAGAATGCTCAGAGTATCAGCACCCAGAGTCCTTTGGGAGAACTTTCCTCCCTAATCAGACACCCTGGTGAAGACACATTCTCACACTTCAGGGCCCTTTTAGACAAACTGGAAGTAATAGCAACACCCATAACTTCACAGCTTTGGGCAGAAGGAAGAGCATAGACTTCAGTCAGAAGGTCCTGGGTTCGAGTCCTAACTCAGTCAATCAACACACATGAAGGAAAACATGACTGGTGGATACCTGGGCTTTTCACCCCCACTCCACAAGCGTTATCATGCATTTCCAGGATATTCAGCATTGTCCTACAAAAGGCCAGGATTCCAGAGAGGCCTCTGCCTGGCTTGGCCTCCAGCAAACTTCCAGCCTCGTAGGGGAGATAGAGCCTGACACAAATGCTCCCATTCCTATTATTGCTCAGAGCAATAACACAAGAAATCACAATCAGCGGGGCGCCTGGGTGGCTCAGTCGGTTAAGTGTCCAACTTCGGCTCAGGTCATGATCTCGTGGTCCATGAGTTCGAGCCCCTCATCAGGCTCTGTGCTGACAGCTCAGAGCCTGGAGCCTGCTTCAGATTCTGTGTCTCTGTCTCTCTGCCCCTCCCCAACTCATGTTCTGTCTCTCTCGGTCTCTTGAAAATAAAAACAAACATTAAAAATTAAAAAAAAAAAGAAATCACAGGCAGCCAGGACACAGAGGAGGCAGCTAAAAAGGAGGGACTAGAGTAGAGGAAGTATGCCAGAGCCAAAAAGAGAGAGAGAAAGGAAGTGGAGAACTAGAACATTAGACAGCTAGTGGCCAGTGATTCTCTCACACTGACCAGGGAGGAAGTCGGGCTGAACAACCCCAGATAATGAAGGGCAGTAGAAGGCCAATCCTGCTTCCCAGGCCTGTTTATTTCTGTCTTGATTTGTTTTGTATATCTCCAGAGATGGAGACTCCAGTCCCAAGAGAGACAACCCAGTCCTCCCTGGGCACAGGCAACTGTCAAAGAGGTTGATGCACCATGATTTTTTTTTTCCTTAAGTAGTGACCACCCTAGTTGAAAAGGCTGAATGCGATTGGGGAGGACATGAGACAGGCAGCCAGTTCCTACCGCAGGCTGGATCTCAAATCAGACTCCCCTGGGTTCAGTCTCCTCTCTGCTCTACTACTTAAGGGGCTTGTGACTTCATCTCTGCAAGCCTGTGTCTTCTCTGAAATGACCATAACATCACCCTACCTCATAGGTTTATTCGTTGAGCTACTGGAGTAAAATGCGTGACATAGGTGCAAGTGTGTTATCCTGCTCCAGGGCCCAGAGTGCTCTGGAATGTGTCCCAACCACAGATGTACTTTCCTACCTCTAAAGCTTTGCACATGCTCTGACTTGCCTCAAATGCTCTTGCCCCACCACTCATACCTAGCAAACTCCTACACAGCCCTTAAAGTCCTTAAAGCCACCTCTCTTTTCTCTGTTCAAGCCCTGACCCAGGGAGCGAGGAGCATATGGGCCCGGTTCTAATTAGGCCCACTGTGATGTGATGACTTCCCTGAGAACACGTGGTAGGCATGCAGTCAAAGCTTGTCGAATGAATGAATAGATGGATGGATGAATGAATGATCATTTGGGAGGGGTGGCCAAAGGGGAGATCCAAGAGTCTGCCAACCACGTCTGCGCCCATGTCCCCAGCTCCCGAGACCTCCAGGGGCCAGCGGCGGCAGACAAGGGGCGAGGGGGCTTCCGGGAGGGGTCTTCTTGTCTTCCGGTACGGCCCCTTTAAGGGGCGGGGCCAGTGGGGTAGGCGCCCGGAGCGTCGGTGCGGCGCGAAGATGGCGGCGGCGGCGGCGGCGGACCCCGGGGCGGCCCAGGCACCGAACTCGCTGCTGCTCGTGGTGGGCGGCGAGTGCGGGTGCTCGGGGCTGCTCACTTACGTGCTGGAGGAGCTCGAACGAGGTCGGGTTGGCCTGGGGCCGCGGGGTGCGAGAGGCGGGCGCGGCCGCGCGTCTCGGCCCGAGGGTGGGGGTGGGGGTGGGGGTGGGGGTGAGGGTGGGGGCGGCCGAGCTAGGGGGGTGGGGTGGGCAGCGGCGGAATCCTGGGGGTCCAGAGGCTCGGTCTTCCTCACGGTTAGGTTAGGCGTACGGCGCGGCCAGAGGCCTGGGGCGCCCACGGAGGAAGCGGTACCCGGGCCTGGGTTGGGCTGCCCCGCCCCGCCCCGGGTGTAGCCTGGGGACCGGACAGGGGCCCGGGCTTGGGGACCCGCGCAATTGGGCAACACGGACGACGGCTCCGCTTCCCGCCCAGCGGGCCCGCAGAGGGGAGGGTGGGGTCTCCTCGAAGCCCAGGGTCCTAGCAGCTTGGGTGTCCTGGAGGGAGGAGTCGGGATGGAGCCCCGGGGCCCACTTTCCGTGGCTCCAGAAGGAGCGTGCTAATTGGGGTGTGGGCGGGCGCAGCCTGCCCGGGGGATTTGGCATCTGGGGAGATGAATCATATAGGTGCACCTGCGAGGTTCACCTGCAGCCACTTGGCGCAGGCATCGTGCACCCCACGCCAGGTTTGGAGGGCCTTCATCCCCGCATTCAGATGGGCAGGGCCTTCGGTCTGGCGCCTGCAAAATGGAAAGGCAGCGCGCGCCTCTGCGTGCTTGGGAATGTTGTGGTCCGTGTCCCTGTCCTGCCCCACCCCCACCCCGCCCCGTGCGCAAGGATAGCGGGGGACCACAGGCTCAGCTCTGCCCTCGCGGTGCTAATAGTCTGATAGGGTGAGGGACCCAAAGCGGGTGAGGAGATGGAACAAGTTTTTAAGCTCACAGGCTGTCAGGAGTGCTCAGAAGGATGCAAAGCGCTGAAGGCCCGAAGGGTGGGTGGGGAGGCAGAGGGAAGGACCTCCTGAGAGTAGCAAGAGCTAGTGCCAAGGCCAGGAGGTGGAAACACTCCTGGCCGGGCAGAAGGAGTTGTGAGACAGTGGTGGGAGCGGGGGGGGAGACGATGGAGGGGACCAGATGACTGTTCAGGAGGTGGGGGGCTCTTTTGTTGACGTTGTGAAATGTCGAGTTAACGCTTTGGGTTCTTTGGTGCAGATGCAGAGAGAGGGCGAGAGGCACGTTAGGTGCTTCTGAGTCCCCAGGCCGCGGGTAGGGGGACAGGTAGAAGGGAGGGGCCCGGGATGGCTCCCACCTGCCAGATGCTAGTTATTGAAACATTCTGGGAGCTGGGGAGCCCACTTGACTTCCTACCTCACTTCTTCACCGCCCCCCTTGCCCCCAACAGGCATCCGCTCCTGGGACATCGACCCTGGCATTTGCAGCCTTGATGAGCAGCTCAAGGTTTTTGTGTCCCGGCACTCTGCCACCTTCTCCAGCATCGTGAAAGGTGAGACTGGAGACCCCCCAGTTCCCAGCCACTCCCCTTCTACTCGTTCACCGGGGGGAGTGTTCTCTGAGTTCCAGCTGTGTGCCAGGCGTGGGGGGTGGGGCTCCGGTATGGCTATAAACAATAACAGTAATAATACAGCTGAGTCTGCCAGGCGTGAAGCAGGGCTGGGCCCTGACCAGCGCCAACTCCCTTGGTCATCTGCTGTACACAAGGCAGGAACTCGTGTTTTTGTCCCCATTTTGCAGACGAGGCAGCTGAGGGGTGGGGCCAGGGAGACCTCCAGGAAGTGAGCTCTTTGGAGGAGAGGTACCTGGGGCTGTTGTGTCGAGTGGAGGGAAGGGCCCAGACAAGGTGAGAAGATGTTTGGAAAGCGAGGGGACGCTGAGGGGGCCTGGAGAGTGGAGTGTGGGGACCGTGTCTGGTTTGTGGCTGTGACCCCCGTATGGGAGGTGCTCAGTGGGTGGGAAGCTTTGAGAGGAGAAACGTTGAGGAAAGGGTTGGGACGCGTGGGCCAGCCCCACACAGCCCAGGATGGCCCACAGAACAGGGCGGCTGCTGGGCGGGTCCTGGGTGTCGCCCGAGGCCCCTCTTGCCTCAGCCAGCCTGTTGAGTCACTAGGCTGCTGCAGGAGGGGAAGGAAGTGTCCTTCGCCTCATTGTCCTAGCGGTTCCTGGTAGCTTCCTGACCCCTCACAGGATTTGGGGGCAGGAAGGGGCTGGAAATCCCGTCGGCTCTGTGTGACCTTGGTGGCCGTTCCCCCGCCGGAATGGGGCAATATCCGTATGTGATAATAAGCGTGTGATAAGCTGATAAAGGCTGACCAGTGCCGAAAGGTCCTTTCCTCTCCAGCCTTAGGCCTGCTGCTCGCTTTTTGAAACCTCTGGGTTCTGGGGGATAGACCGGGACTCAGATCTTCCCCACCCCCCGTCTTCCTGGCCCATGAGGCCTCCCCACCCCCATGCTTCCCTCACTGTGGCCTCACCTGCCACTTGCTGATCCTCAGATACCTGGACCCCAGTCCTGCCCTCTTCCTGGTGTACCTCGTTGGCCCTCCCTGGGCTCAGGCTCCTTGCCTCTGCGGGGTGACAGTGACATCCCCCGGAGGGCTGACTGCCGGGAAGCAGGGCCGTAAGCAGTGATGGCCTTGTCGTCACCGTTTCCAGCGTGAGGCCTGCCGGCGCTGGTTTTCTGTTCTTGCCCCACCCCGACCTGCACCTCTGTCGTGTGCCTGTTGCTCCTCAGATGCCCCCCTGGCTGGGGTTCCCGGGAGGCAGAGTCCTGGAGGGGCTTGTGGCTGCCTGGGGTCACGCCGGGAGGCAGGGCTGGACACCGGGACGGCCTGACCCCACGCACAAGGCCCAGCCCCAGACTCACAGGGCCCGGTTCCCCCACAGGCCAGCGGAGCCTGCACCACCGTGGAGACACCCTGGAGACGCTGGTGCTCCTGAACCCATCAGACAAGTCCCTGTGCGACGAGGTAGGGACCCATCCTCTCTGCAGGGGGCGGGGCCGCAGGGACCGGTGCCTTCCCGAGTCTTGACTTCCTGAGCGTCCCTGACCTTGTGCTGTTTAAAATTTTCTTGACACCCAGCAGCCTCACCCCCTCCTTCAGAAAGCCTCCCCAGATGGCCTCCGCTTCAGCTTGTCCCTCCCTTGGGGGTGGGGGGGTGGGAGGAGCAGGTGGAGTCAGGGAGGACTGGAGTTTGGGAGGAGGGAATGGAGCAGGGAAGGTCTGGAGGCAGGAAGGCAGGGCTCTGCTGACGTTTGCATCTTGTGCCTCTTGCTGGCTGGGCCCCAGGAGTTGTCTGCATTGACTTTTTAAAAATTTATTTTGAGAGAGAGCACGCGCGTGAGCACTCCAGCTGGGAAGGGGCGGGGCGGGGGAGAGAGAATCCCAGGCAGGCTCCGTGCTGTCAGCTGAAATGAAGAGTCAGACGCTTAACAGACTGAGCCACCCAGGAGCCCCTGAATTGACTCTGAATCCTAGTTCGTGGCCATCCGTGCGCATCTCCCCGTTACCCGTAGGGAGGATGAACGAGACAGAGCCCCGTGCGCCCCTCTAGAGTCCCTCAAATAGGTGGGCTACCCTGCTCACAGATGCTCCATTTTGTTTCCTCAAGGAGCTCTGAAGGAGGTACAGCCAGACACAGACACCCTCTTCCCCGTGGCATTGAGGCTGGGCCAGAGAGAGAGAGGGCCCCAGGGAATCCAGAAAGGGTATGGGGGGGGGGGCTTCTAGGAAGAGGGGGCACTGGAGCCTGGCTTTTAGGATGAGCAGCAGGAGTTCATTGGGGGTGGGGTGCAGGGCTCAGCAAGAGGCCCCGAGGGCACCCTTCTAGCTTCTAGTTGAACACTGGGGTGGGGACAGGGGTGGGGGTGGTTACATGTAGATTTGGGGCTGGGGGCCATCTCAAAGCAGGGTGTAGGCTGTGTCACTGCACAGAGCAGCGTCTTTAACGGCCTCCCCCTTCCTCAGCTCCGGAACCTTCTGCTGGACCCTGCCCCTCATAAACTGCTGGTGTTGGCCGGGCCCTGCCTGGAGGAGACAGGGGAGTTGCTGCTCCAGACGGGGGGCTTCTCGCCCCGCCACTTCCTCCAGGTCCTAGGGGACAAAGAGGTAAGTTGCCGCCTCCTCCTCATCCTTCCCCTGGCTCTGAATCCTGGCTCGTCCCCATCAGGCTGTGTGGCCCTAGTGACCTGTCCCTCCCTGCACCCCGTCCCCTCCTCTGTGGGGCAGAAGCAGTGACACGTGTCCCTCCAGTGGCTGGGCCCCGAGTCCCTCACCTACTACACTGTGTGGTTTGAGGCTAGGCCTGTAGGTCAGCAGACATCCCAGAGACCACAAGGGGCACCCCAGCTTCTAGGTCCCTTCTACAGTCCTTAGTCTGGGTGTGGCAGATGAGCAAAACCAGCTGGTAAACCTCCTTTTTAGGTTAGGAGAGTGAGGTAATGACCGGGAGATAAAAAGCACAGAAGACGTCCCCGGAGGGAGCTGTGCTGTAGGATGAGAACAGCAAGTGCAAAGGCCTTGGGGCGGGGAGAGTGGGAGGGAAGCAGGTGGTGAGTCAGGATCCTGTGTCTCTGTGACCATGGGGAGGGCTGGGTTTTGGCCTCAGGGTGACAAGGGTCCGCCAAGGGACTCTCCCAGCCCCAAGAAGACAGACAGGGGGCGCTTGCCCAGTTTTCCCAAGGGGCTGAGTATTGCCTGGCTCCAAGGGGGCCCCTAACCATGACTTCTCCCCCAGATCCGGGATCTTCTGGCGTCTACGCCCCCACCTGCAGACCTGCCCGAGCTGACCATCACCTGCCCAAGCTTTGGGGACTGGGCCCAGCTGGCGTCTGCGGGGCTGGGCCTCCAGGGCGCCCTGCGGCTGCGGTGGAACCCCCCCGTGCGGCTGCCGGCCTCCGCGGGCCTGCGCGAGTTCCTGGAGTACGTGGCCGAGTCGCTGGAGCCGCCGTCCCCCTTTGAGCTGCTCGAGCCGCCCGCGTCCGTGGGCTTCCTCAGGCTCGCCCGGCCCTGCTGCTATGTCTTCCCTGGTGGCCTCGGCGATGCCGCCTTCTTTGCCGTCAACGGCTTCACCGTGCTGGTCAACGGCGGCTCGAACCCCAAGTCGAGCTTCTGGAAGCTGGTGCGCCACCTGGACCGCGTGGACGCTGTGCTGGTGACCCACGCCGGCGCCGACAGCCTCCCGGGCCTCAACAGCCTTCTGCGGCGCAAACTGGCGGAGCGGGACGAGGCGGCGGCCGGCGGGGGCTCCGGGGATGACCGGCTTCGCAGGCTCATCTCCCCCAACCTGGGGGTCGTGTTCCTCAACGCCCGTGTCGCCATCTCGCGTCTGGCGAGCGGCGAGGACGAGGCGGAGCTGGCCCTGAGCCTCTTGGCCCGGCTGGGCATCACTCCCCTTACCCTGAACCGCGGGCCGCTCCCGGCTGAGCCCACTGTGCTCTTTCAGAAGATGGGTGTGGGCCGCTTGGACATGTACGTGCTGCACCCGCCCGCTGCCGGCGCGGAGCTCGCATCCGTGTGCGCCCTGCTGGTGTGGCACCCTGCGGGCCCCACCGAGAAGGTGGTGCGCGTGCTGTTCCCAGGCTGCACGCCGCCTGCCCGCCTCCTGGACGGCCTGGTGCGTCTGCAGCACCTGGGCTTCCTGCGAGAGCCCGTGGTGACCCCCCAGGACCTAGCAGGGCCTCGGCGAGCTGGGAGCAAGGAGAGCGTGGGCTCCCGGGACAGCCTGAGAAGAGAAGGCCGGGCGGCAGCACCCTCCCGGCCTGCCCAGGAGCGCCCTGTGGCGGCGGCGGCCCGGAAGGAGCCACCTCGGGTTGAGGCCCCCCGCAGGGCTGAGAGAGAAGCCAGGGCCCCCCGCGAGGTGAAGAGGGACCCCAAGCCGAGCGTCCCCCGGACATCCCAGCCCCGGGCAGCCTCCACTTCGGGGAGCGTGAAGAAGGTGGGCGCCCAAGCTGCCACCAGGCCCCGCCGAGCACCCGCAAACCCCCGCCCTGGCGTCCCCCCGGCGGAGAACGGGCCCTGCAGCCCGCCCAGCTTCCGGTGCCGGGAGGCCAGCCCGCCCACCGAGGCCTGCAGCTCGCCGGCCCCCCAGCTGGCGGCCACTCCCAGTCCGGAGAGCAGCCTGGAACTGGGGCCGAGCCCAGCCGCGGATGATGGCGGCGCCTTGGCGGAGAAGGCCCTGGAGCTGCTTCTGGGTGCCAGCACCCCCCGGCCGCGCACACCCTCGCCTACTGGGGCCCCCCAGGGCCCAGCGGAGAGCAGCGGGCGGCTGTCACTGAGCCCGCTGCGGGGTGGGGAAGCTGCGCCCGACGCATCGCCCACGGTGACCACGCCGTCACTGCCTGCTGAGGTTGGGTCCCCGCACTCCACAGAGGTGGACGAGTCCCTGTCCGTCTCCTTCGAGCAGGTGCTGCCGCCACCACCTGCTGCCGCGGGCGAGGCTGGGCTGAGCCTCCCGCTCCGTGGCCCACGAGTCCGGCGATCCGCCTCCCCGCACGACGTGGACCTGTGCCTGGTGTCGCCCTGCGAGTTTGAACACCGGAAGGCTGTGCCCATGGCGCCCGCGTCCCCAGGCAGCTCTGAGAGCAGTGCTCGGTCCCAGGAGCGGGCGGGCGCTCTGGGGGCCGAGGAGACGCCTCCCACCTCTGTCAGCGAGTCCCTGCCCACCCTGTCTGACTCAGACCCCCTCCCGGCCGCCCCTGGCATCGCGGACTCGGACGAAGACATGGAGGGCTTGGGGGTCCCTCGCCGCGACCCGCTGCCCGAGCCCCTCAAGTTCCCCCCACCGCTGCCCACCCCGCCCAGCATCTGCATGGTGGACCCCGAGGTGCTGCCTCCGGAGCAGGCCCGGCCGGCAGAGGGCCTTGGCCGCACCCGGAAGTCCCTGGTCCGCCCTAATCCCAGCACTGCCGCCTCCAAAGCCGCCCCGGTGACCACGGCCAAAACCAAGGGACTGGCTGGCGGAGACCGGGCTGGTCGGCCCCTTGGCACCCGGAGCGAGCCCAGTGACAAGGGGGTTCGGGCACCCGTGTCCAGAAAGTCCTCGGTCCCCAAGACAACCACTCGGGGCCCATCCGGTAAGTATCTAGGAGCTGGAGTCCTATAGGGGAGTTACCGGCCGAAATCTTTGTTCTCTATTTGCTGTGTGACCTCAGCCAGACCTGCCACCCTCTCTGGGCATCAGTTTCTCCTATAAAATGGCAGCTTTGGCTCACCGTTTAGGCCCTTGCAATTCTAGGGCGTTCAGGCAGTGCCGCCCACGGAAACATAAAGTGGGCGTATCTGTCATCCTGAAGTCACTAATGCCACAGCAACTAAAAACGGGAAGTTAATTTTAATAATATATTTAACCCATTTGTGTGGAGATTGCCAAACCCACCACCACCAGACTCGATGTTGTAGTCGGGACTCGGGACGCAGTCATACTCTGGCTCTGCTGCATTGCAGCAGAAGGATACAGAAGAGGAGAGACGAGGGAGGGGGGACCAGGCACAGGCCAGTAGAGGTGTCCCCCAGCGTGGTCCCACCGTGTGCTTGACACGAGCCCTGTGCTTGAGAGCGAGCCCTGATGACACAGGAAAGTTCCCTAGAGACCGAGCGCCCAGGGTGTCAGCTGGGGGCCGGTCATGTTGGCACCCTCTGCCTGACATGTACCGGAGTCCCAGACTCAGGGCGACGCAGGTGTCCAGGGTGAGTCCCACCTCTGGGACGAAGCAGGCGCCGTGAGCCGCCCTTGTCCCTGCTGAGCGGGAACATTCTGAAATCCAGGTGCCCCGGACTCCAGCCAGGGCCGCCCCGTCAGCAGACCTTTCTTTTCCCCCCAGTTTTCCTTAGTTGGGATGAAATCTCTCTAACAGGACATGTACCGCCTTAGCCGTTTCTAAGTGCACCGTTCCATGGCGTTAAGTACGCAACAAGCCCCACCAGTCAGGACTCCTTTTATCTTGCAAAACCGAAACTCTGTCCCCATTAAAAACTAATACCCATTCCTCCTCTCCCAATCCCTGGCACCTTCCGGCTCTACGACCTGTTTCTATGACTCTGACTCCTCTGGGGCTCTTGTAAGTGAAGTCCTACTGTGTTTATGTTTTGTGATGAGTTTCTTTCACTTCGCGTAATGTCCCTGTGGTTCATCCATGTTGTAGTCTGTGTCATAATTTTCTTCCCTTTGTTTCATTTTTAAGAATCTCCTTCCTTTTTAAGGCTGAAGAATACTGTGTCGCGCGGATGGACCCTATTTTGTTTATCCATTCACCCATTGCTGGACCCTTGTTATTTCTGCCTTTCGGCTACTGCTGAATAATGCTGGGATGAACATGACTGGACACGTATCTCTTGGAGATCTTACTTTCGCCTCTTCGGGGTATATTCCCAGAAGTGGGATTGCTGGATCACATAGTAATTCTATTTTTTATTTTTCTTTTTATTTTTTTTGAGGAGCCGCCACACTATTTTCGACAGCAGCTGCACCATTTTCCGTTCCCACTAGCAGTGCAGAAAGGCTCCAATTTTTCCACATCCTCGCCAATACTTGTTCTTTTTTCATAGTAGCCACCTGATGGGTGGGAGGTGATCTCTTATGAGGGTTTTGATTTGCATTTCCCCGATTAGTGATGTTGAGTTTCATGTGCTGTCAGCCAATTTATATTCTCTTCTTTGGAGAAATGTCTGTTCAGGTCTTTCGCCCCATTTTTGATCCGGTTGTCTTTGTTGTTGGGTTATGGGAGTTCTGTTGTGGATCTTAACCCTTGATCAGGTACATGATTTGCAAATATTTTTTCCCCATTCTGTGGGGCTGCCTTTTTATTCTGTTGATTGTGTTCTTTGCACAAAAGTTTGTGAGCGTCGTAAAGTCCAGTTTGGCTTTTTTTTCCTGCCTGTGCTTTTGTCACATCCCAAAAAAATCATTGCCAAATCCACAATTTTGTGAAACTTTTGCTTTGTTCTGTTTTATGGTTTTAGCCCTCACATTTTGTTCCATGATAAATTGAGTTGATTTTTGTCCGTGGTGCTAAATGAGAGTTCAATTTCATTCTTTCGCATGGAGACGTCCAATTTTCCCACCACTATTGGTTGAAAAGACTGTCCTTCCCCCACCAATGGTCTTGGAATCCTTGTCAGAAATCATTTCAGCACATATGTGAGGGTTTATTTCTGAGTTTTCTGTTCCATTGGCCAATAATGCATCTGTCTTTATGTCAACACCACACTGTCTTGATTACTGTCCCTTTGTCATTAGTTTACAGATCAGGGCGTGTGAGGCCTCCAACTTTATTCTTCAACATTGTCTTGCCTTCTGGAACCTTTGAGGTTCCATATGATTTTAGGATAGGCTTTCCTATTTCTGCAAAAAGCCCTTTGATCGCGACAGCATTGAATCTGTAGTTTGCTTCAGGGATAGTGTCAACACTCGGCAGATATTAAGTCTTCCCGTCCACAAGTACGGGATGTCTTTGGTGTGCGTTTTTACGTCTTCTTCCATTTCTTTCAGCAGTATTTTGTAGTTTTCATAGATTTTATTTTCTGGGTTAAATTAATTCCTAAATATTTTATTCTTTTTTTGATGGTATTGTAAATAGAATTGTTTTCTTAGTGTCCTTTTCAGATTGTTCACCATTAGCGTGTAGAAGCATAACTGATTTGTGTGGGTTGGTTTTGTATCCAGCTACTTTGCCGAATCTGTTTATTCTAACAGCTGTGTGTGTGTGTGTGCACGTGCATAATTTTAGAGTTTTCTGCACAGAAGAGCGTGTCATCTGTGATCAGAGGTAAGTTTAATTTTTTCTTTTCTAATGTGGATTATCTTTTCTGTTTCTTGCCTGATTGCTCTGGCTAGCGCTTCTAGTATTGTGTAGATTAGAAGTGCCAAAAGCCAACATTCTTGCCTTGTTCCTGCTCTTAGAAAAAAAAGCTTATAGTGTTTCATCGTTGGGTATGATGTGAGCTGTAGGTTTTTATGTACGGCTTGTATTACGTTGAGGCAGTTTCATGCTCAACGTTGTTGAGGATTTTTATCATGAAAAAGGGTTGAATTTTGTCAAATGCCTTTTCCGCAATAATTGAAATGATTGTAATGTTTTATTCATTCTGTTAATGTGGTATATTATGTTGGTTTTTCTTTTCTTTTTAAGACTTTATTTTTAAAGTAAATCTCTACACCCAATATGGGGTTCAAACTCACAACCCTGAGATCAAGAGTCGCATGCTCTACCAGCCAAGCCAGCCCCATATATATACACTTTTTTTTTTTTTTTTTTTAGAAAAGGGAGGATTTTTTAAAATGTATTTTATTTATTTCTGAGGGAGAGAGAGACAGCGTGAGCAGGGGAGATTCAGAGAGAGAGGGAGACACAGAATCCGAAACAGTCTCCAGGCTCTGAGCTGGCTGTCAGCACAGAGCTCGACGCAGGGCTTGAACCCACAAACTGTGAGATCATGACCTGAGCTGAAGTCGGGTGCTTAACCGACTGAGCCACCCAGACGCCCCCATTTTTTTTTTTTTTTTTTTAAGGTTTCATTTTTTGGAGCGTCTGGGTGGCTCTCAGTCAGTTAGATGTCTGAATTCAGCTCGGGTCATGATCTCGTGGTCTGTGAGTTCAAGCCCTGCGTCAGGCTCTGTGCTGACAGCTCGCGGAACCTTGAGCCTGCTTCAGATTCTGTGTCTCCCTGTCTCTCTGCCCCTCCCCCACTCACACTCTGTCTCTGCCTCTCTCTCTCAAAAATAAAGATTAAAAAAATTTCTTTTAAAGATTTCATTTTTAAGTACTCTCTACACCCACTGTGTGGCTATATTGATTTTTCATATGTTGAACCATCCCTGCATCCCAGGTATTCCCACTTGATCACAGTGTCTGATCCTTTTAATAGGCTGCTGATTTGTCGCAGATTTTTGCTTCCAGGTTCATAAGGGATATTGATAAAGTTGGAGAGGGATCAAAGTTAGTTCTTGAAACGTGTGGTAGAAACTTAAGCTCAGGAGGATTTTGATTCCTGATTCAGTCTCCTTACTAACAATAGATCTGTTTAGTTTTTCTGTTTTTGTGATTCAGTCTTGGTGGGTTTTGTGTTTCTGGGCATTTGTAAGCTTCTTCTAGGTTATGTGGTTTCTTGTTTGTACAGATGTCCCCAGGACTCTCCTAATGCTCTTTATGTCTGTACAGTAGGTAGTAGTGTCTCCCTCTTACTTCTGATCTTATCAGTTTGAGTCTCTTACTCTAGCCAAAGGGGTGTCAGTTTTGTTAATCTCTTTAAAGGACCAACTCGTGGTTTTATTGGTTCTTTTGTATTTTTCTATTCTCAGTCTTTAAAATCTCTGCTCTTTATCGTTTCTTTTTCTGTTAGCTTTGGATTTACTTTTTTTTTTTTCCCTGGTTCCTTAGGTTAAAGTTAGGTTGTTGGATGGAGATACCCTTTTTTAATATAGATGTTTATACGCAGAAACTTTCCTCGTATCTCTGCTTTCTCTAAAGAGATTCTCTCCCAGCAGTGGGGCTGTAGCATGTCTCTGTGGGTCGTCCTAGTTGGAATTTGTTGAGCTTCTTAGACGTTTACTAACACCTTGCATCAGATATGGGAAGTTTGGGGCCATTGTTTCTTCAAATAATCGTTCTGCCCCTTTCTCTCCACCTGCGATTCCACGTGTGTGTTGGCCCCCTCGGCGGCGGCCCACAAATCCCTGTGGCCGCCGTTCAGTTCCTTCAGCCTTATTTCTCCCTGTTCCTCAGACCCGATCAAGAATGGAATTCCTCTCGTGAATTTTTCACTTCAGTTAGTGCCCTTTTCAGCCGCAGAATTTCTTTCTGGTCTGTTTTCTCTGTCCCTAGTGCTGTTCCTGTTTTACTCACACAGCATCTTCTTGCACATCCTCCTTTCTTTCTGGAAGCACCTTTAAGACCGTTGTTTTAAGGTCTTTGTGCAGCAAGCCCACCATCTGGCCTTTCTCGGGGGTGGTTTCTGTTGATTTTTTTTTTTTTTTCTTTTTACTCTGGGCCCTACTTTTCCTTTTTAAAATTTTTTTTTAATTTTTTTTTTTTTTTTTTTTTTGAGAGAGGGAGAGAGACAGCATGAGCAGGGGAGGGTCAGAGAGAGAGGGAGACACAGAATCCGAAGCAGGCTCCAGGCTCTGAGCTGTCAGCGCAGAGCCCGATGAAGGGCTTGAACCCATGAACCGTGAGATCATGACCTGAGCCAGTCGGACATTTAACTGAGCCACCACCCAGGCACCCCATGGGCCCTACTTTTCCTGTTGCTTTGTACACCTTGTGATTTTTGCTGCTGTTGTTGAAAACCAGACACTTGAGTTTAATAACATGTTAACTCCGGAGATCCAAATCTCCCCCTTCCCCAGGGGAAGGTTTGTGTGGCTGCTTTGTTTAATTATCATGTGCTGCTTCTGTGCTGGGATCAGTCCGAGGTGGACACTGAGAGTCTTCTCAAATCTTCACGGAGCCTGCGCCATCCCCTGGGCACGTGTGATTTTCCTAAATCTCCCATGTGTGCAGTGGCTTTTTAAAAATTATGATTAAGCGTTTAATGTTAATTCCAGCATAGTTAACAGCTATATTAGTTCAAGTGTACAATGTAGTGATGCAGTGGCTTTTGAATGGCTTAGTCCTTACATGTGTGGCTCCTTAAAGGGGGGAAAAGTGAAAAATGACGGAGAAAAGGAGAAAACATGCTCCATCCTTTGGATCTCCTGGAAGTCAGGGAGACGCTGCCAGCCGGACTGCCGTGTGGATGGGGAGATGGATTCCCGGTGCTTCCCGCTGCACCGTCGTCCCCTAGCCCTCCCGCTGAGTGCACTCTGTCACGCGTGCTACTAGAGCAGAATAGTCCAGCGTGCCATCAGTATGACCCCTCACCGGCTGATTCCCCTGCTCGTGGCCACGCTGGGTCTCGGGTGCCTGGTGTGGGTTTGGTACAAACCCCAGCTCATCCCAGCCTGTCCTGGCTGCGTCCCAGCGCTCGGCAGCCACTGTGGAGGGCACTGCAGGCCTAGGAGTACCGGGGGTGGTGGGAAAGCTCCGATGATGACTGGCAGTGATGATGACTTGAGCTGCTGTCCCCGAGTGCTTGCTCACCTGTCCAGGTACCTTGGTGGCCCTGCCCTCTGGAAGCTGACAGATGTCCCAGGCAACTCTTGCCCCGGGGCTTGTCGTTGGTTCCCAGCCTCAGTGCCCCTGAGCTGCCACCTCTTATCCTTCTTGGGCACTTTCCAGGAGAGGCACCCAGTGGGCCCCCATGGGCTTGAGCAGGGCGGCTACCCAGGTCCGTGGCCGAGGCCGGGAGTCATCCGAGCCCCTGTCTGCCCAGGCTTTTGGACCCCCCAGGCTTTTGGGTCTCCTCCTCCCACTGCCCCCGACAGATGGACCTCTGCTAGTGTCGGCTGACTGTGTCTTAAAAGGGCCAGGGGGTAAACGTCCCCAAATCGCAGGCCAGGTGCGCTCTGTCCAGCGCCTTGGCTCTGTGCTGCAGAACAGCAGCTCGCGGGGAACCGGAAGGGCGCTCCGGCAAAGCTGCATTTACAGAGGCAGGCGCTGCTGGAGCGCGCCGGGCCCTGCCCTGCCCCGTGGCCCCCTCATCTTCTCTTCACCAGTCCGCCTCTGTTGCTCCCTCGTGCTTATCGTGGCCGTGGCTGTGGCGGCATTCTCTTCCTGAGTCTCAAGATCCTCACCACCCTTGTTCCTGGCTATGGTGGGGGGGGGTGCCACCTGCCCAAAGCTAGGGGAGTTGTTCGCTCTGCCACTGCCGCGGCGGCCCTCTGCGCCCACCCCCGGAGCTGGGCAGTGTTTCCTGGCCTAAGACGTCAAGCACCTGGCCAGCGTCCTGTGCCTCAGATCCAGGCTTGTCCTCACTTAATTGACTATGATTATGAGACACTCGCCTGGGACTGGGGGCCTCATTACCCTTTGCATAGGTTCTGGGTTCAGGGCCATGGGTGAGGCTCTGAAAGCAGCGCCACATCTGGCCTCCCTCTTGCAGTCTGTCCCTCCCACACCCACTCTGTCTTCCTCGTTGCCCTTGGGGGCAGAGAGTTTTGTCTGTCTCAGTCACTGACATGTCCCTAGTGCCTAATGCCCAGGAAGGCTCAATAAATGCCCCTTGAGTAATTGAGTAGACGGAGGAGGCTGCAGAAGCAGCAGATTGTTCTAGATACTGGCTGCTTTGGGAGCTTTAGCTCTAAAACCCCCTCTTTCTGGGGGGGGAAGCCCTCCCTGATTGCCCCCTCCTACCCTCTGGCCCTGGGTATGTCTGTGTCCAGGGACCAGCCGGGGAGGGTCCGGGCACCGAGGATGTGGCCTGGGGTCTCTGCAGGGTTTGTTGAGTAACTGCCCAAGGCACAGAGAGCTTGTCAACTGTGAGACGGTGAGATCAGGCCGCCCCCTGTGGACGGAGCCACTCAGAGAGATGCAGGCAGAGATGGGAGCCCCTTCCCAGGCCCAGGTCCCAGGAGCTCAGGACTCACCCCTTCCTTCCTGCCCCCAGGGTCAGCGGGCAGCCGGCCAGGCGGGTCAGCAGCACCCCCCGGCTCCCCTGTCTACCTCGACCTGGCCTACCTGCCCGGCGGGCACAGCGCCCGGCTGGTGGATGAGGAGTTCTTCCGACGCGTGCGGGCGCTCTGCTATGTCATCAGTGGCCAGGACCAGCGCAGGGAGGAGGGCATGCGGGCCGTCCTGGACGCGCTGCTGGCTGGCAAGCAGCAATGGGACCGAGACCTCCAGGTGCGTGACCACCCCAGGGCCCCAGACAGACTTGGCACAAGGTAGGGCCACACGCTGCCTGGTGTGCTCCCATTGAACTTAGTCCTGTGAGGTCTATGTGACCTTCACCACCTACCCACAGAAGAGGGAGTGGGGCTCTGACTAAGCTGTGGCCCCAAGGCCACAGAAAGGAAGGTGAGTTCAGAAGCCCCACAGCTCTCAGGGCTCTGTTCCCTGTTGTCCACGTCGTCTGTGTGAAGGAGCTGGAGGAGGGTGCGGGGCAGGACTGGTTTGATCCCCTTCCCTGACCCCTGCGCTCTTAACCTTCCCAGTCGTGAGAACTGGCGAGGGTCCGCGTGGCTGCGAAAGCTGAGAATTGGTCCTGTGGCTGGGTGGTCCCCCAGGGAAGCCGTGGAGCACATCCTTGAAGGGCAAGCTTTCAGGTCCCTGGCCACCCATTTGGTGTGGGAGGTGCCGACGCCAGCCTTTCAGGGAGCATGCGCGCGGCCCCTGTTCCCCCCCTCCCCCCAACCAGCTTGTCGAGAGCCAGGAGGGAGAATCCCAGGCACCAGGGGAAGGTAGAGCAAGCTTGGTGCGTACAAGGGAGGAGGCAGAGAGAGGCCTGGTCTGTGTTGTGAGAGGGCCCTTTGGGTGCCGTGGGGACAAGAAAGGACCTCAAAGACGGGCTGGCCGCCAGCTGCAGACATCCAGGCAAGAGCGAAGGGAGGCAGAGCAAATGCGGTCAGGGAAGAAGGGTCTCAGACGCCGAGAGTGGAGCAAGGGGCTGGGCCCAGGGCTCAGAGATGCTCCCGCTCACCGTCAGTCTGTCTTTCCCCCCCACAGGTGACCCTGATCCCCACCTTTGATTCGGTGGCGATGCACGAGTGGTACGAGGAGACGCATGCGCGGCACCAGGCACTGGGCATCACCGTGCTGGGCAGCAACAGCACCGTGTCCATGCAAGACGAGGCCTTCCCTGCCTGCAAGGTCGAGTTCTAGCTCGGGGCCCTGACGTCCGCCCCCTCGGCCGGCACCCGCCCCAGTCCTGAGACTCACCTGCATCAGAAATAAACCAGGTACTCCACCCAGCTGCTGCCTCAGTTCCTTCTGCTGATGGCAGACTTGACAGCGTCTGGGACTCATCACCGCTGTGTCGGCCCCTGGTTTCGGGGGGATCCCCCAGTAGCCCCCAGGCCAGGCGTGCCCTGGCCTCCATGTCGCAGATGGGGAGACCCAGGCCCCGTGGGAGAGTGTGTCTTTCTGGTAATGACCTCCGGCAGCCGGCAGCCAGCATGAGGGAAGCCGGAGCGCCTGAGGGCTGGCCCTCCACTGCAGGAGCTGGTCAGGGCCCAGGTGAGGTTGGACCCCAGGCTCTGTGCTCCAGAGCGGCAGAATCTCTGTCCCACCTGATGCTCGAGGCAGGAGATCACATGCTACAGAGAGGTCTTCAAGAAGAATCAGACCCAGAGATTACCGACCTCAGTTCCTAGAGAACTTTCCATGCTCCCTGCGCTTGCAGATGCCTGGATAGAACGTTAGAGGAGATGCCATGCGTCCTGGGTCCAATGGCGACCCAAAAAGCAAACGTCTGAGTCCTGACACCTGAAATCTGAGAGTGTGACCCTGTCTGCAGAAAGGGATTTTCAGATGCAGTTAAGTGAAGGCTCCTGAGATTCTCTGGTTGGGCCCTAAGTCCAGTGATGGGTGTCCTTAGACCAAGGAGGTGACACACAGAAGGCCATGTGGAGACGGAGGCAGGGACTGGGGTGATGGGGCCATAGCCGAGGAACCTTGGAGCTCCCGAGGCCGGTGCAGAGTGATCCTCCCCTAGAACTTTCTGAAGGAACCAACCCCGTGGACACCTTGATTTCAGAGTTGGGCCTCCAGAACGGCGAGAATGAACCGTTGTGTGTGGAACTTTGTGATGGTCCAGGAGGTGCTCTGAGCCGGTCAGCACACGGCTCGTGGCCTGAGTCCCTGTGTGTGGCTGTGGAGGCATCAGCTCCCACAACAGGCACCTCCTGCCCGCGGCTCTGGAGGCTGGAGGGCCCGGACCAGGGTGCTGGCGCCACCGGGTCTGCTGAGCCCGTTCTCTGGCTGTGTCTTCGGTGGAGAGGGAGGGGGCGTGGGGACACATCCTCTCACGGCCCCTCCTTAGGCAGCACCAACCCCGTGATGGGACCCCACCCCGTGACCTCCACTACCTAGTGATCTCCCAGAGTACCCCCCGCCACAAACACCGTCATGACGGGGAACAGGCCTCACACATAGGAAATTGGCGGGGGGAGGGTTTGTACTAGTTGGGTCTCAGCCTATCAGTGACCAGTGTCGTGGTTGGACTGGATGACAAGATGCCCTCCTGCCTGACAACCATCGGGAACCTGAAAAAAACATTTATCACTTACAAGACCTGGAAATTACCCAGCTCCCCGAGGGCCACACAGTGTCAGGGAGGGACTGAGACAGAACCACACTGGCGGGGCCTCTGCTCTTGCTGAGTCCAGGGTGCAAGCCTCGGTTCTCAGGGCTCCTTGTTTATCGGTAAACCTAAAACCTCCCAGTGGGAATTTAAAGCAATGGGAGGGGGAATAATGGCCCGAGTGGCCCGGAAGGCCTGTTATCACACTCAGCCAAGACCTCTGAAATGAGGAGCATGGGCGGGGGCCCTGGCTCTTTCTCCAGTGCCTGGTGCCAAGTTTGCCCCCGGCGGGCTTCTCGGAAGCGGGTGCCTGGGCCATCCAAGCTTCGGTCCCGGCCTCGCGTGACAGGAAGAAACTGGGCTTGCACCACAGCGGGCGTGACTCCGACGCAAGTCAGTCTGCAGCCAGCAGGGCGGCAGCACGCAGGGACCGGGGCCACCTACGAAGGGTTGGCTTGCGGGACCTACCGCTTCTTGCAGCAGCTGCCGAACCGCTGTCCGGCTGTCTCGCATGGGGTGTCGGGACTGGACAAGGCCGGGCGGGTGGGAAGGAAGGGCAGGCGGACGCGAAGAGGACCTGCGCCGGCGCCCAAGGGGACAGGACCCACCAGGGCCCTGTGGGCGATGCCGCGGCCAAAGTCAGCGCGCGCCCGGCCGGGGACAGGTTTGGCAGCCTTCGGGGGAGCTGCCCGGCACCGGGGACCTGGGTCTGCGACCCTGCGCCCACTTTGTTGTCGCTGTACCCTCCGTCTGTTCATGTCCGTGAACGGGGAAAGTGGAAGTGCTGCGAGCCGGAGCGGGAGCGGGAGCGCGCCCAGCCCGACGGGGGCGTGCGGAGCAGAGCTGCGCATGCGGGTTACGCCCTTTTCCCGCTGCCCGGTAAGGGTGGGCGCCTTGGGGTGGGGCGCTGTTGCAACCCTGCCCGCGGTGTCATTTTGGCCAGACTGGCGCGTGGCAGGTGCTGCCTCCTGCACTCTCTCCATCTCTTCTATCACCAGGGAGGCCTTCTCACTGGTATTGTTTAATTAGCCACTCTGTTTTATTACATGTGCTGCTTCTCACTGATGCATCGTAACTCTTTTTCAAGAAACAATAAAAGGTTTTTAATTGTGCTAAAAAGCACATAAGATTTACCGTCTTAACCATTAAGGTTTTGTGCGGTGGGGTTTTTTTCCCTCCAGATCTTTCAATTTTATGAACAGTTGTTCTGTAAACATTTTATTTTCATGGCTTTCAAACCACAGTCTTTAAATGTCTTTCTTTTGTGCTCCGAGAGGGCTTTCTCGCAGCCGGCACAAGTTCCCCCATGGCTTTTACTCCGTGTTTATCATTTTAACTTTTATTTTTATCCATCTAGGACTTATTTGGGGATGAAGAGAGATGGAGGGGTTGCTCCAGCCCCAAGGGCCAGCCGATTGTCCCCGGCCCGGTGCGAGTTTGAAAGGCTCCCTCCTCCCTAAGACCCGGGCGCGTCTGCGTCTGTTTCTACATCTGCTCTAATCCATCACCAGCGTTTCTGGCCGTCTCCTGGCTATTTTCATGGGGGTAGTCTTGTGTGTCTTAATAGCTCCTCGGCAAGTTTTTATTCCTTGGTTTTATTTTTTCCCTTCTTAAATTCCCAGCTGTTTTCACGTGCTCATTCCTCTTAGAGTTCTAGAATCTCCCCAGAGGGGCCCAAACAACGTAAAAGAAATTTTACAGGGGCGCCTGGCTGGCTCGGTCGGTAAAGAATGTGACTCTTCATCTTGGGGTTGTGAGTTCTAGTCCCACATGGGGCATTGAGATTACTTAAAAAAATAAAATCCGGGGCGCCTGGGTGGCTTAGTCGGTTAAGCTTCTGACTTTCGCTTAGGTCATGATCTCGCGGTTTGTGGGTTCGAGCCCCGCGTCGGGCTCTGTGCTGACTGCCAGCTCAGAGCCTGGAGCCTGCTTCAGTCTGTGACTCCCTCTCTCTCTGACCCTCCGCTGCTCACGCTGTCTCTCTCTCTCCTAGAAATAAATAAAAATATTTAAAAAAAAATAAAAAATAAAATAAAATCCTTTTTTTTTCAATGTCTTTATTTTATTTTGAGAGAGACAAAAAGCGAGCAGGGGAGGGGCAGAGAGAGAGGGAGACACAGGATCTGAAGACAGGCTCCGGGCTCTGAGCTAGCTGTCAGCACAGAGCCCAATGCAGGGCTCGAACCCACGAACTGTGAGATCATGACCTGAGCCAAAGTCGGACGCCCAACCGACTGAACCACCCAGGCGCCCCTAAAAAATAAGAGAAGAAATGTTATAAACTTCTGCTTTTGAGCACCTAGTAGACTAGATTCTCAAGCCGATCCTCCAAGAAAAACAATGAGAACTGGATAAAAAGAGTTACATCTTGATTAACGTGTCAGCGAGCAGGCAAAGACTAAGGAGCACTCAGAGGCCTGGCATAGGCGGGAGCCCCAGGAGGGAGGCAGCTTTTACGTTAGACAGGGTGGGTCTGTTAAGTCAAGACCTCAAAGGGTGAAGTCACAATCAAAATAAGATCTTCCAGGAATGGGAAGGAAACTCGGTTATGTCTGGCCCGTCTGTTGAGAGGAAGAGAGGGGTAGAATCTAGTCCAGTGACTGGTGACCTCACTTAAGTGTGCAACCCCAGCAGTTTCTGGGTGTCTGGAGGCCTCCAGTAGACAAAATGGTTTAAAGTCATCCGGGGTGGTGCTGACCCTGGAGGTCTGCTGGTTGAGCCTCCAACCCCAGCCTTGAAGTCACAGGGCGTCTGGGTGGCTCAGTCGGTGAAGCTTCTGACTTGAGCTCAGGTCATGATTTCACAGTCTGTGAGTTTGAGCCCCACGTCGGGCTCTGCACTGACAGCTCGGAGCCTGGAGCCTGCCTGGGATTCTGTGTCTCTTTCTCCCTCTGCCCCTCCCCTGCTTGCTCTCTGTCTCTCTCTGTCTCTCAAAAATAACCATTAAAAGAACTCCCCCAGTCACATCCCAGGAACTGTGTATGAACTGGCATCGAAACAACCTGTCCACATGAGGGGAGCCAGTGGACATGAAGGCAGCAGACTTCCGGCGTCAGCGTCATGAGACCCAGAATCTGTGTATTTAATCCTGAAGCGTGGAACAGAGAGCAAGGCATTCGTAGAAGAACCGAATGGAACTGAGAGAAATTAGCAATAATGGAGATTTCAAACACTGGCTGCGGCTAACAGTGGATTTGAGCTAGCCGAGAGAAAACTGAGGAGCCGGAAGATGGAGCGGAGTGTATTTCCCAAATGTGGGAAGAAAAGGGAGAGTAAGAAAGAAGAGCAGAGGCAAACTCTGAAGAGGATGAAGGCAAAGGATTTTCCAGAACAAATGAGAGATGTCAGTTCACCAGTATTCAGAAAGCCAGCCACATCCCAAGCAGGGTGTGTAAAAAGACATAGTTGGGGGCACCTGGGTGGCTCAGTCGGTTGGGCGGCCAACTTCGGCTCAGGTCATGATCTCGCAGTCCATGAGTTCGAGCCCCACATCTGGCTCTGTGCTGACAGCTCAGAGCCTGGAGCCTGCTTCAAATTCTGTTTTCCTCTTTCTCTCTCTCTGCCCCTGCTCAGCTCATGCTCTATGTCTCTGAAAAATATAACATTAAAAAACATTTTTTTAATAAAAATAAAAAGACATAGTTGATTCAGCACAGAAAACCAAAGTCC